ATCTTTTAATTCCCCTCTTTCACACATACGTTGTCCTACTTCCTCCCTCCACCAGTTTAAAGAGGTACTTCATATTTGAGAAGGCCTGGGGCTTTTATACTTAACCAGATCTTGGCTGAGTAGTTTTTTAATCTCTTTTGCTTTAGTTCGGAACTTAGTACACATTGCTTTGTTGTCTTCTGGCATTCGTTGTTGCCTCGAAGTCAGAGAAGGGTCCGATCATTTCCTCTTCCTCCCTTCTCTTCCTCCTCCCCCACCATAGCATTCTGCCATTGGTCTCCAAAATTTATGTCCTTCTCACATGAAGAATACATTCATTCCGTGCCAGTAACCTAAAACTCTTAACTTGTTCCATCACCAACTAAGAAGTCTAAAGTCCAGAGTTTGACCTAATATCGTTTAAATCAGATGTGGATGAGACTCATAGTGTGAGTCATCGTGAGGCCAGTTGCTCTCAAACTGTGAGCCTGTGAAATGAAACAGGTTATGTGCATTCAAAACACAGTGGTGGGACAGGCATAGCATAGACATTTCCATTCCAAAAGGGGAAAATAGGAAGAAAGGAATGATAGATAAATCCCAAGCCACTCGAAAACCAACAAGGCAAACAGCATTAAATCTTAAGGCTCAAGAGTAATCTTTGATTCCATGTCGTGCCTCTGGACACCCTGGGGTGGAACTTGTGTTGCTATAAAGGAATACCTGAGATTGAGTAATTTATAAATAAAAGAGGTTTTATTTTGTCTTATGGTTCTGCAGGCTGTACTTATAAATAAAAGAGGTTTTATTTTGTCTTATGGTTCTGCAGGCTGTACAGGAAGCATGGTGCTGCCATCTGCTTCTGGTATGGGCCTCAGGAAACTCACAATCATGGTAGAAGTCAGCAGGGAACCAGCAAGTCACATGGAAGAGCAGGCACAGAAGAGAGGAAGAAGGTGCCACATACTCTTTAACAAGCAGATTGCATGTGAACTCACTCATCACCAAGGGCATGATGCTGAGCTCTTCATTGAGGGATGCACCCTAGTGATCGAAACACCTCCCACCAGGCCCCATCTCCAACAGTGGGGATTACATTTTACTGTGAGATTTAGAGGGCACAAATAGCCAAACCATATCCAGCCTCAAAGTTCTGGGGGACACTGCCCCTATATTTTTGCAGGGCACAGACCATGCTACAGCTCTTACAGGTTGGAGTCTCATGTCTCTCCAAGGCTGGAGTTGCACACTGGTGGGCCCTACCCTTCCAGGTTTCAGAGACAGCCCCAATCCATGTTATGTCTGAGCATTGCCCTAGTGGAGGCTTTCTGTGGTGATTCTGCCTTCACACCTATACTTCGGACTACTCTATGGGGGTTCTCTGCAGCGGCTCTGTCCCATGACAGCTCTCAGCCTGGATACTCAGGCTTTTCTGGTATCTTTTGAAATGTAGGTGGAGGCAGCCACACTAGCATATCTCATGCACTTTGCACACCTGTGGAGATGGCACTCTGCAAACACCATGCCAGGGTTTATCACCTTTGCCTTCTAGAAGGGTGATCTGAGTTGCACCTGAGCCTACTTGAGCAACAGCTGGGGTAACCAAGGAGCACTGCACCAGAATTTAGGGAACAGAGACTTAAAATTGTCCTGCCACAAGGCCCTGGGGTTCTGGGTCTGTGATGGGCAGGGCAGCTCTGAAATACCTTACTGGTCATTCTCCCGTTGTCTCAATGAATAGCATGTGGCTTCCTTCCATCCACATGAATCTCCTTAACAGATGTTTGTACCATGCCTTTGGTTTCTCTCCTGAACAAGCTGTATCATTCTTTACATGGCTAGGCTGAGAATTTTTCAAATCTTTAAATTCTGCTTCCCTTGTGATTATAGATTTCATCTTTTATTTGTTTCTATCTTCTCAGCTTTTACTATAAGTTGAGAAGCCACAAAACACCCTCAAGACTTTCCTTGGATATTTTTTCCACTAAATATCCTGTTTCATCACTCTCAGACTACTTCTACAGAACACTAGGACACAAGCACAATCCAGCCAGGTTCTTTACCACTTTATTACAAGATCACCTTTTCTTCTGTTTCTAGTAACATGTTTCTCATTTTTTTCTGAGACCTCATTAGGATGGCCTTTACCATCAAACATTTTGACTGTGACCATTAACATGATCTCTAAGAAGATTGAAGCTTTCTCAGCAGTTCTCCTCTTTTGAGCCCTCACCACTCTTAATGCTCCTTCCACAGCAATGTAGGCTTTTTCTAGCGTACACATCCATATTCTTCCAGCCTCTACCCATTACCCAATTGCAAAGTTACTTCCATATTTTTAGGTGTTTGTTACAGCAGCACCATGCTACTGGTGCCAGCTTCTGTTTTATTATGTTCAGGCCCCTATAACAAAATTCTCAGACTGGATAATTTATAAACAAATTCATTGTTCACATTTCTAGAGACTGGGAAGTCTAAAACCAAGGTATCAGCAGATTCAGGGTCTGGTAAGGGCCTGTTTCTCATAGATGGTACCTTCCAGCTGTAGCATCACAGAAGGGGCAAACAGGCTTCCTTAAACCTCTCTTAGAATGGTAGTAATCCTATTAATGAGGGTAGAGCCTTCATGACCTAATTATCTCCCAAGGCCGCTCCTCTGAAAACCGTCACCTTAGGAGTTTTAACATAGGAAGTTTGAGAAGGACATTCAGATTAGAGTGAGCACTAAATCATAAGGATTCCACCCTTACGCTGAAATTACCTGACATAGGACCCACCCCCTAATAACTATCACAGTGGGATTAGGATTTCAACATAGGAATTTAGAGGGCAACACAAACGTTCGGTCTGTAACACCAAGTTACTCAGGTTGAAATTCTAAACTTGAAGAATGTAATCAATTTGAACATTGTAGTATTGAAAAAATGTTAAAACCACAACGTTTTGATTTTATAGTTAGCCTGTCTCATCTAAGAATCCCAGAACTTTTTCTCTCCTGTATTTTACATCTGCCTCACAGCTTTAAAAGAGAAATTAGAACCCAAACCAGTGAACTTCTTTTACTTCTGAAAGACCTGTACAAGCTTCACTTTTAAAATGTGGTGATATGTTAAAATGTTCTGCCACATTTTAGATATAAAGTATAGTAAAATAAAGTAAGATATATTCTCTTTCATGCTTTTGCAGTATATAGAATAATGATTATAATTTTCTTGTGTGCTTCCTGTGGGCTTTTTGATTGAAAACATTGGTATTGTAGGTTGTAGGTATGTTAAGAACTCCTCAGATACCTTTCTGGTAATGATTAACATTGTTCTGTTCTTTTTTTTTTTTTTTGAGACGGAGTTTCGCTCTTGTCACCCAGGCTGAAGTGCAGTGGCGCAATGTCGGCTAACTGCAGTCTCCGCCTCCTGTGTTCAAGCGATTCTTCTGCCTCAGCCTCCCTAGCAGCTGGGATTATAGGTACCTGCCACCACACCTAGTTAATTTTTTGTATTTTTGATAGAGACGGGGTTTCGCCATGTTGGTCAGGCTGGTCTCAAACTCTTGACCTCAGGTGATCCACCCACCTCAGCCTCCCAAAGTGCTGGGATTACAGGCATGAGCCACTGCGCCCAGCCGATTTAGGTTGTTCTTTAAGCACTAGTTTGAATTCTGTTAGCTATGTAACAGTTAACTTTCCTGTTTACAGTTCATATGAATCATCTCAGGACCTGAACTGAAACTGTGTTGTTTAATGAGGCTGCTTGAAATTTCAATTGATTTATTTTTTGCTTTATTTGTAGATTATGTGTACTATATCTGTAACCTGTTTTTAGTCTGTAAGAAGATTTTGTGTAACTCTCTCACATGGGCGCCCTCTCTCTCTCTCTCTCTCTCTCTCTCTCTCTCTCACACACACACACACACACACACACACACACACCCTCGGTAAACTATGTTTAGACCATGCTTGGGTTGAACTACTACTGTGAAATTAATGAATTTGGTTACCCTACTTCTACCACATACTTATACGCAAAGGGCACATAACCATTGTCTCTAGTGCTCCATTCCTAGCATATACCACTTAGTCTGTTTTATCCTATGATAGCAGAATACCTGAGACTGGGTAAGTTGTAATGAACAGAAGTTTAATGGCTCATATTCTAGAGGCTGGGAAATCCAATATCAAGGTGCTGGCATCCAAGGGCTTCTTGTTGCATCGTCACCTGGCAGAAGAAGAGAGAAGAGGGAACGAAAGAACAAGAGGGAGCTGCACTCATACATGAGGGTGGAGCCTCATAGCCTTATCACCTCTTCTTAAAGGTCCCAACTCTTAATACTATTACAATGGCAATTAAATTTCAACATGAGTTTTAGAGGGGACAAGCATTCAAGCTATAGCATTCTGCCTGCAGGCCCCCACATCTCATGTCCTTCTCATAAACAAAATAATTCATCTAAATAGCCCCACAAGTCTTCTAACAGCTTGAACTTAAAAGTCCAGAGTGTCATCTAAATTAAATGTGAGACTAGTCTTTTTTAAGTGAATATTTTCACTTTTTGCTTTTATGCTCTAAAATTTTCTTTCTTATCTAGTGACTATGTAAATTGTCATTAATTTTCAAGTGAAATTCTTAAATTTGGGGGCACTTTGATTTGATTTTTGATTTTTTAATTTACTACTTAAGCAGAATTTCTTATTGCTAATTATCATATTTAAACTGAACTTATTGTTACGAACTTACTGAAGAAATGGCTTTCCTCCTTTCTTTCAAACATGGGATTTCTTCTAGATTTTGCCTAATAGAAACTTAATATTAGGGTAAATAATCTTATCTTTTGTTTGCAATGTTGAATAAGAGCCAATGGATGTTTTAATTTTTCAAATGATATTTTCACCCAAAAATTTAAGCATGAAAAGAATGAAAATATAAATGAATATTTATAAATGCGTCACGTAGTTCTGATTTTAATTTGTTTTTAATTTCCTTTTTAGCTACTCCCTAATGGTAAAGCACTGTTGATTTGTTTTGCAGAATCCTTGCAGCCTTTCTTGGAAGCCTGTAGCAACTCTTCATTTTTTCGTACTTGCTCTGTGCTGCTTCGAGCCCCTAAGCTTGATCTTCAAATACTTGAAAAACTCAGTATTATTTTACAGAAACTTTCCAAAATCAAGTAAGAATTTCTTATTTCTAACATTTTTATTGAAAAATAGCTTATTGTGATCATTTAGATCAGGGGTGTCCAATCTTTTGGCTTCCCTGGGCCACAGTGGAAGAAGAATTGTCTTGGACCACACATAAAATACACTAACGATCACTGATGTGCTCGTTAAATAAATAAAATCTCATAGCGTTTTAAGAAAATTTACAAATTTGTGTCGAGACGCATTCAGAACCATCCTGGGCCAAATGAAGCTGACAGGCTGCAGGTTGGACAAGCTTGGTTTAGACCTTTCTAAATCCCATGCTACATAAACTTTGATCATTAAATAAAAATTTCCATTATACAGATGTAGAAAACTAAAATTCACAAATATTAATGCTGATCTAAGACCACATATTTAGTGACAGGCTAGAATTGGAGTACTAATCACAGAACATCTAGTTGTTTCTATAGCTCATTTCAGATAAATGAACTTTAAATACTTCACATAAAAGTAAGATCAGTTTTTAGCAACCAAATAATAATATCCAAATAAATTCTTGCATGCTAGTATTCTGTAATACCACAGGTGAAAATAAAAAGATAACAAAAGTATATTTTGCAAATTCTTATTGATGTACCAAAGTGGATTTAGGGAATGAGAATGAAGCAAGCAGAAGAGATTTTAAATTACTTTAGTAACAGGGTTTATTTTAGTAAACTCTTATGGGCTGCCTACTGCCACTAATTTGGATTTTATTATGAAAATCAAGGGGTTTGTGTTTCCTCTTCTTTCTCCTGACTCAGAAATTTGTATAACCAGTTACTAAACTATAAATAAGGACACAGATTTTAAGCTGTATTTTCCTTGATTCTTGGTATACTCTAATGTTTCCTTTGAGGCAAATCTGGAAACCTTCTATCTCAAGGCATTTTTATAACAGTAACATTTTTATTTTTATTTAGGTTCAACTATTCTCTCTCTGGCCTCATCCCTCATCCATGATTCCCATGGTAGAGAATTTAGATATTTTCAGGTGTCCATAAACTCGAGTAGTAAATACAGTGCAGCTTGAAATTAGTTGTATAATTTATATAATAGTGATTAAGAGATCCACATGTTCTGTTTGGTAACATGCTTAGTAGTGCATCGTAATAAATTATTGTCAAATTATAACCTCATTCTCAACTGACCAAATTATTAGCTTTGGTCTGGTATCTGCTGAATTTATCAATTTACTGTCTTCCTTTTCTTGCCGACTGTACTATGATTCTCTTGATTTATGATCAGTAAATTCCTAGTAAGGCCTGTTGCAGTTACCCGTGGTGCCATGAAGCAGCAATAATCTTACTTAGATTTAATTCTTTTTTAGTTCCTAATTCATGGGATTTTTTAAAAAGTGGTCCTAAAGTGCAAGTATATTCTTGGTCCAAAATGTTTTACTATTCGTGATGTGTTTGCAGCTTAGGTTCATTTTTGACTTAAATAAAAAACTAGAACAAAGCTTGAACAAGAAGATTGGGAATAGTTGATGCTCAAGCAAGACTTAAAATAAATCTTTAAGACCACAAAAGATGTAAATCCTTTTATATTAGGATAGCACATAAGGTTATTTGACAAATTCTCTCGAGAGGTAAAAATAGCTAGACAAGGAAATAAGAAACATAAAGTATAATTCTTAATGATTGAAATGAAATTACTGACCGGTTATTAGAAAGAGGATGATTGAACAAGTGTTTTATAGCCAAGTCAAAAGGTAAACCAATATTCTGCCAGTTTACAAAGGCCTGCTTACATAAAATAGGATGATCAAATGTTCGTCTGTCTTGCTAGCTGTGAAAAAAAAAATTCTCAGGCTCTCTAATAGTGAATACGGTGCAGTTTTCAGGGTTATAAAATGTTTCCAGGGTGGGTGTGGTGGCTCATGTCTGTAGTCTCAGCATTTTGGGAGGCCAAGGAAGGAGGATCGCCTGAGCCCAGAAGTTCAAGACCAGTCTTAGCAACATAGTGACACCCTGTCTCTACAAAAAACAGAATTAGCCAGGTTTGATGGTGTGCACCTGTAGTCCTAGCTACTCGGGAGGCTGAGGTGGGAGGATTTTTTGAGCTGGAGAGGTTGAGGCTGCAGTAAGCTGTGTCCATACCACTGCACTCCACCGGGGTGCCAGAACAACACCTTGTCTCAAAAGAAAAAAAAGTTTCCTTTTTTTCCCAATGCTTTTCTGCTTCAGTTTATCTCGTAAACCCATTTTGTTTGTTTCAGCATTCTAATCTTTTAGTCGCCTATTTTCTCCACTGTTTTTAAAAACAGTTGCCATTTCCTAATGTTTACACGTAAATTGTCTTTCAGTGTCATTGCAGATGAACTCCCTAAATATGTGTAATTAAATAATACTTTCATTTGTTTACAGGAGTAATAAGAAGCTCTTTGAACTTTTTACGATTCATCTGATGCTTCAAGAAATACAAAGGACAACAAACCCAGAGCATGCCTTTCTCTGTATTAATCTAAATTCAACTCTGTTCAATTTGGGTTTAACAAAATGTAACTCCCTGGTCTCCAGTGCAAGCCATTAGACTGGCATATTTTTTTAATATAGTAGATGTGGTGCTTATTTATAAACATGTAAAAATTACCAAAGTAACAACAATTCTACCAAGTAAAGTTATCAGTAGCATCATTCATCATGAAAAATAAATGATTTTTTTGAATTTTAAAAATGAAATCTGTAGAAGGTATTGGAACTTTTGGAATGCTTCAGTTCAAGGAAGGTAGTACTAATGTACAAGATGGCATTTCTAGAATGTATGACACTGATGTTACTTTTTGTAAAATTATATTAGGAAAATTCTTAAAATTATGTGATGATTTGGAATAAATTTGGTGCTTATGTGAGAACAAGGTTAAATAATACTGTTTTTCCATTTTCTTAATATATTATAATCCTTCCTTTTGAAAGCAGAAGTATGTATCTTTATCATCTTGAGAGCATAACTTTTCTATATACTATATTTTAGATTAACAGATACTGACTTTTTAAATTGTGCTCTTTGTGGGATAAAAAATTATTTTTTATTGTGCTGTTCACGGGATTAAAAACTTTTTTTTTTTTCAAAATAATTATTACTGGAGCATGTATATACAATACAAGACATTCTTTAAGTATTTAAAGGTAAACAAAAGATATTCCTGTTACCAGAAATACCTCTTGATTTAGCCAAAGATGAGTAAAGTGGCCAGAGATCTGGGTGAGTGAAGGTGGTGAGACTTGGGACTTAGCACAGGATACTGAGGAACATTGTTTTAAAGAGCCATGAAATCATATATGATCAGTTTATAAGCTCGGTTTCAGGATTTAGAAGAAATTTTCAAAAAAGTATTAGGCCTCTTTAAAAAAATATAAGAAAATGTGCCATTTTTGAAGTAGAAACAAAGTCATAAGGAAAGAACAGGCCGAGGTGAGTATGGTGGTACCCACAGAAACTTAAAAAGGCAGAAGGCCAGGCACGATGGCTCATTTCTGTAATCCTAGCACTTTGGGATGCCAAGGTGGACGGATCACCTATGTTCAGGAGTTCAAGACTAGCCTAGCCAATGTGGTGAAACCCCATCTCTACTAAAAATACAAAATTAGCTGGGCATGGTGGCGGGCGCCTGTGATCCCAGCTACTTGGGTGGCTGAGGCAGGAGAATCACTTAAACCTGGGAGGCAGAGAGCCGAGATCATGGTATTACACTCCAGCCTGGGCAACAAAGTGAGACTCTGTCTCAAAAAATAATCGAGACCATCCTGGTCAACATGGTGAAACCCCGTCTCTACTAAAAATACAAAAAGTTAGCTGGGCATGGTGGCACATGCCTGTAATCCCAGCTACTCAGGAGGCTGAGGCAGGAGAATTGCCTGAACCCGGGAGGCGGAGGTTGCGGTGAGCCGAGATCGCACCATTGCACTCCAGCCTGGGTAACAAGAGCGAAACTCCGTCTCAAAAAAAAAAAGAAAATTAAAAAATAATAATAAAAATGCAGAAGCCAAAGTGCATATTAGAAACAAAAAAATAGCATGATCGATACTTCATAAAATAGGAGTAGCATGATGAGAAAGAACAAATGAAAAGCTCTCTTGGAACTCAGAGTACATAGAGATGCTACCAGCGAGAGTGGATGGCAGATACTAGGATAGAGCCTGGCACTTCTGTATGGTGGCATTTGGCATTTCTGAAAAAGAGAACAGAACAAGTAGAGCAGAAGCAATATTCAGAAATATAGTTGAATAAAGATTCTGGCAGCCAAAGAGCTGCATGTACAGATTGAAAGGGCTCATGATGTTCCAGAAAAACCTATGAGAAAGGGGTTCTATAATTAGATGCATCCTGACCAAATGGTAAGCTATAAGGATAAAAGCACAAACAAAAGCCAGTTACTTACAAGAAAGGAAAAACCAGGCTAGCCATACAGAATGGTGGAAGGTAATAGGGAGCTCTAGAGAAGATTTTTAGTCCAAGAATTTATCCCTACTGAAGTTGCCTTTCATAGGTGAAGACAATGGAAAGACATCTTCAGACATTCGAGTGTTGAGAAATTATACAACGTATGTATTATTCTGGAGGAAAAAAAATGACTTAAAGATTAATCAACTTAGAGATGAAAGAAAACAGTTGATTAAATCAACCTCATGACAAAAGACAGCACTGAGCACTGAAACAAATATTAATTTAAATAATTGTTACAACTCTGTTTATAAGATGGAGTGAGATGCTAAAGTCCCCAAAAGGATAAATAGTGGGAAAAGCAGCCCCCCTGCTCTTCCTTTCTCAGTCATCATGATGTGTGCTGTCATCTCCATTTCTCACCATGTCTTCTCACAAGTCTTTCAGGGTCAAGCGATTTCAGGCCAAGAAACAAAAACAAAATTGTCTTATTCTCCAGTGTATTCGGATGAAAACTGGTAATAAAATCAGGTACAGTCCCAAGAGGAGACACTGGGGAAGAACCACGCTGGGTCTGTAAGGAATTGCAAATGAGATGGCACACATATTTATGCTGTATCAAGATCACTGTCATCTTACCATATCAGGCTGAAAATGTCACCAAGAGTCACATGTGTTCCATTGGGAAAATGGTTTTTCTTTTTGTTTATATCCTCTGCACTAGTAGGGTGGTTTAGTAACAAATATGTGAGACCTTTTATTTGAAAAATACTGCTTTTAAGTAATGGGAAAAGCAATATGTTAGTAGTATCAGGGTAAGATTATCTTAGACTTTGTTAACAAAAACAGAATTGATGGGGCCTTGAGATTGTGGTAGAGATGAAAGAGGAGCTGTTAAGTACAATATTCTACATTATCAGAAAGAGTCAAGTGTTCCATTTCACTGTTAGAAAAATGTAGGATAAAGAATGCGTCTGGAAAATACCAAGGAAACTATTAAAATAAAAATAGCATAAATATTCTCAAAACACTGAAAAAGAAAAATGAAATATCTATATAGATATAGCAAAAAATAGAATGACAAGAACATGAACAAAAATATTTAGGATAAATAAGGGAAGTTTTAAAAATTATAAATATATTCTTTATGGTCATATGTTAATAAATTTGAAAATCTGAATTAGATGGACTGTTTTCTAGGAAAAGATAAAACTTGGCTTAAGAAATCTGCACTAGCAAATCATTACAGTCTTTTATTTACTTACTTTTTTGTAGAGACAGGGTTTTGCCATGTTGCCCAGGCTGGTCTTGAACTCTTGAGCTCAAGCAGTTTGTTTGCCTTGGCCTCCCAGAGTGCCGGGATTACAAGCATGAGCCAGTGCACCTAGCCTACAGTCTTTTATAAAATTATCAAAGAATTCTTTTTTTAAATGGCTGCAAGTCCAGGTATTTTGCAAGTGGATTATTTTAAAATTTCAACATGAAATATTTAAAGTTATTTAAACTGTCCCAGAATGTAGAAAAATCATCCAAATTTATTTCATACAGTTAACATGAATCTAGTATCAAACAGTTGGCAAAATGAGAATAAAATAGATTCAAAAGTCTCAAAGAATTATGGAGAAAGCAATACCAACTGCATATAACAGGAACATTAATCCATGATTAAGTAGGATAACATACATTCTAGAAATACAAGATTAACTTTCTAATTGAAAAATATATTTTGGCCAGGTTAAGTTTTTAGCATATTATTATTATTTAATCCTCATAATAACTTTGTGATGGGTCTTATAATTGTTATCATTTTATAGATCAAAAAAGAAATGGGATTAGGGAGATCTAAGTGACTAAGCCACAATCATTGCTGTAACTAGAGCTCTGTTAGTTGAAGGGGAGTGAGAGGGAATTTACGATACTAGATTTTTACCCATGTTATAGTTGTGACTGGAGTCCTTGAGTTTACCTCCTCTCTTCCAACCTCCAAATTTATTGGAATAACAAAAGAAATTTTTCTAGAGTAAGCAATATGAAATGGAAAGTTTTTGTTTTCAGTAGTGTGGTGGACTATATTTATTCTCCAGGTGCAGTGCAACTCAAAAAGTCAGGAGTACGTAAGCACATGGTTGATCTGGTGGCAAAGTAAAACAGTTCCTTGGAGGTCAGACTTGATAAGAAACAAATCCAAAGCAAAAGAAAATATTTAAAAAAAAAAAAAATCAATGTAATTGAAAACAGGAAGTCAACAAAACCAAAAGCTATTTCTTTGAAAAGATCAATAAGCTTCCGGTCAGGCTAATAAAACAAAACAAAACAAACAAAAAAGCAAGAGAAGGTATAAAATACCAAAAATGAAAGAAGGGACATTACTGTGGGTTCCATGTTCATAGATAGGAAGACTTAATATCAAGATTTTTCTCCCAACTTGATCTTTAGATACAATGCAAATCCTATTCAAAATCCTAGCAAGTTATTTTGTGGGTACCAACTGACCTTTTCCCATGAATTATGAACTTTCTTAATGGCATCTAGAAGGCTAAATTCTTTCTAGGTTTTCATAGCTAGAGAGGAGATAGGGATTAGACATCAAGGCCTGGCTTTAAAGCTTCAAAAGACAGGCTGACTCTCTTGTTGGAGTTTAATAGGGTTGTGGCTTTAACTTGAAGACTGTACTCATTTACCATTCTGAAAATCCTAGGGCCCTTAAGAATATTATACTAAATCTCCCCTGCCTGTGCTCTATAAATGGAATAACAAAGCCTGGATGATGGCACATCTGTTTATAGCATCATTTCCTGAATACTTTAAGCCCACTGTTGAGACCTACTGCTCAAATAAAAAAGACTCCTCTGAAAACATTACCACTTATTAACAGTGCACCCAGTGACTAAAGAGCTCTGATGGAGATGTGCAAGATTAATGTTTCCATGCCTGATAACATAACATCCATTCTGCAGCCTATGAACCAAAACATAATTTCAACTTTCAAGCCTTTTGCTTCTCCATGTAAACTTTATAATTCATGGGAGAAGGTAAAAATATCAACATTAACAGGAGTTTGGAAAAAGTTAATTCCAATCCTCATGAATGACTTTGAGGGGTTTAAGACTTCAGTGGAGGAAGTAACTGCAGATGTGGCGGAAATTGCAAATGAACTGTGAAGCCTAAGATAGCATGATCTTCCAATAGGAGGCCGTTTAAACTGCATTGAAAATCTGTTGTGTAGTGTAGCCACATCATCAGTGGTCTTACCTCAGTGTTCTGGAGAACTTGCTACAGCTTCTACACCAGCACTTGCTGCTTCATCTTGCACTTTTATGTTATGGAGATGAATTTTTCCCTAAAACCTCATGAACCAACCTCTGCTAGCTTCAAACTTTTCTTTGCAGCTTTGTCAGCCTTCATAGAATTGAAGAGAGTTAGGGCCTTGGTTTGGATTAGGCTTTGGCTTAAAGGAATATTGTGACTCATTT